TCGTTATCATGGTTAACGATTAAAATAGCGTTTCAAAGACATCTATTACCAAACGGTTGCTCAAGTTCGCATGGCTAGATGAACTGTTCACCTTCAATTTGTGAGAATAGGTTAGTTCGGGTGGTGACCCTATAATGTCATCGTTATCATGGTTAACGCCCCAAGCTCCTTTGGGTGCTTATTCCTTTCATCAGAACTGGATCCGAGTTGTGTAGGTTGCGTTTCACGTGTACGATCAAATCCGGTCTCTCCTTTATTTGTTTTGAGTAGGTAATCGGTGTGAAAACACTCTTATTCTAATGCTGACATCACACACCACACAGAACACCCAAGCAAGGCCACGGTGTCCAATGAAGGGAACGGAGTTTCAGGAGGCAGCAACATCTGAAATTGTTCACGGTCAACAGATTGAATGTGGCTAATACTTTGACACTCAAAAACGCATAATTTCACGTCTACCAGGTCTAGTTTACAATCTCTGCAGAACGCTGTTGTGCAAGTTAAATCCAATAACTTGCCTAAAAATGACAAACTTAGTACTTCACTTGTTCCAAAAACATTTGGATGTCGTATCAAAACTCCACCCAGAAAAACTCACCGAGATTAGGACAGTTAGCTGTGGAACACAGCAAGCTACAGGTTTTTAAAATCCATAAATCGATTGAAATATGGTTTTTTATTTTGAAATGCTCAATGAGGCGAGGAAAAGATGAAGTTTTCCTAAAGACACTTCATGCATGATTTTACGTCACTCTGGTGACAGTTTTTGAGATTCTGCCAGAATGTGCTCATTTCAGGATCCCGTGGGTGTGTGCAGCCTGGAAGTAAACACAAACATCTGGAAAAACGGCAGTTTTTCGTACTTTGTACGTGTGTGCTTTACAAAAATGTTTACCAACTTTCTCTTCCAAAGAAGGCAAATTTTCAATGGGTCCATCTGAGTAATTTTCAAATCCTTCGGTATGGCTGTATCAGACCCTTTACGGAAGCTGAGTACTGAGGACAAGTTTGCCCCATTGCACTCAGCGAATTTTGTGAAATCGTTTCGGCGTAAAAACTTTGATAGATTTCGATGACGAACTGTCCAAAAACTATAGTTTACTATTAGGAACTCGACGAAGAGAGCCATGAGAATGATCAGTGTGAGTTGACCGACGGAATTTGAACTCGCTTTATGAGTGGCCCCGCTGGCAGCTGACATCCTTTAGGAGTGAAGTCATTATGGCCAGGGGATATGTAGATTCCAATTGAAAGCTCCCAACATCATCCCCCGAGTACTGACCGAAATGAGCGCTTCAATACCACAATTTGAAGAGCTTTCAGTAGCTAATGAAGCAGTTACCGTCAAAACAAAAACACATAAGCTTATCTGACGCTTTGCGTAAACGCACAAATTTGTTCGTTGTGAAACAAACTCGGCTATTACGGGGAATTAAATGTTCTCCACAAAATATCTCAAAAAAGTCTTTAAAAGCATCAACGGTTTTGTTTATCTTACTATACTAGCTGATATGTATTTAGAATGAACACTTTTCAATGGCACAGCGGTCATTGGCCAAAGGAGCCTGTCAAGCTAACTGGCGAATTTCTACAGTTATTTATTCTTCTTTTGATTTTCGGAGCGTATTCCCATGAAAAACAAATATTTCGTTTACTCTGAAGATGAGAAGCAAAGTATTGTGAGTGGAAAACTCAAGGACGTGTCAGGAATCTTCAAGATAATTGCCCTAGTTTATTCACTGATTGCGTGTGCCACATGAATTTGAAAAAACACATGGGCTTGGTATTAACGTCAAAGCTGAAAATCATTATTGAACGGCAAACGAATGCTGTGGGAGAACGTACTACAGTATCCTAAGTCTAAGAAGGTAGTCACTGCAACGGTACACTTATTTGTTGTCAAGGTAACTACTCGCTTGGACTTAGAAGAAAGGAAGCTCCATTTCGTCGGGAACCTTCATTTGAAAACAATAGTCCTGATTTCCATACTTTGCTTATCTTTTCAACCCGACGTCAGCCAATCCATCGTTTTCCTATCGTAATTCAGAAGAGCCCTCTCTTTATGCATACTCTGATTCCATCCTGTGCGCAGCTGAAGACAGCTGCCTATGGACACACCATTGTTATTTGCCGTACATCTCCATTCATTCAAGCTTATACCAAGCCCTTGGGATAATGCAGTAAACCCTTTCTACTACGTTCCGGAAAAAAGACGCCTCAAGCTTCTTTCAACCACACCCGTTTTTATTTTTTTTATGTCATTCCCATTTGGAACACGGTAAGTACTCGCTGGGGTGGAAAACGAAGTTTTCTTTGCTGAGCACTCTCGAAATGCAGTGATTTTTATCGCCTCAGCCGAGACAGGCTGCACTTTTCGACAAGACGAGTGTAGTTTGTGTAACTTCCAAACATCTTATTTGAGTGTTTGCTGGCTTACAGCAAATACTGATTGCTGTGGCGAAAGAACAATGAAGCGATTGGGTCGAAAATGGATGGAAGGAACGGTTGATAGATCGATATTGCGAATATGATATTAAAATAGGTGAGGGCTTCGGGCACATTGAGTTTGAAACACTGAGTCTGTTAGCTCACTCAACAAAAATAGGCAATGAAATGAGAAGTAGTCCATGCCAGACAAATGTTACGATTCACTAGCTTCTGCGTACACAAAACCGACTGTTGCATCTTAGTAACTTAGTGAGGTACTTGGCGGTTTTTATTTTCTGTCTAGTGTTCGAATGGCAACTTCAGAAAAACTCTTAGGTCTCGGCGGTGGTTTGATTTTTGGAAACTGTGGGCCGACAATTTGTTTCCGGTACCCATTCTGTGGCAGGCTCAGATTCACAGTCTCATCGTCAGAACAGATATGTTCCTCATTGAAATTTAGAATTGATGGGATCATCGTTTTGACCCATGCTTAGTTGGTGTCCTGCACTGGATAATGCTGGGTCCCGGGTTGTAGGCTGACAACCACGTGGTCGTTGCCTCATCGTGTTTATCCTGTATCTCGGTAGATATTCAACCATTCCTTTTATTTTTATAATAAACTAAACACGGGCCAAGTGCAGAGTAAGTTGAGTCCGCCGTCATGTTCGTTTGTTCCTAAAATAGTTTAGCAGTCAGATATGAGGTCTGTGTGTTACCTTTGTTCGTGTACCGTTACTTGTATGTGCACTGTGACTGGGAAGTTCCTCCATTTGTTGCTGTATCGGCTGTGACGCGCCATTTTTAGAGTCATGCTTAAATTCTGGTCATGCCGTATCGACCACGCAGTTGTAGGATCCTTGGTTTGCCACTCCAAGAAGCTACGCACGGATGAGTTCGTAGGAGCACATGAGCTGAAACGACTCAACAAGGCAATACAGCATCACTCACTACTCAGTAATGTGTAGAATGCCGCCCAGAACTAGGAGACAACAGGGTAAGAAGTACACGGTGAACATGAGAATACTCTGTCGAGACGATCACCTTGGAAGTGCTTTGGATTGTCATGTTAAACTGTTCTTTCGAACTGGTAACTCCTTGCGGCGTCTTGTGAAGATGCTATCGAACCCAAACAACGTACAAAATACGTTTATCAAATTCCTTCTGCAGGATGTACAGGAGTATATAGATATATATGCCAGAAGGCAATTAACCTCATTTGTGAATCACAGAGCACAAGCAACAAACGCGTTTTCTCCCATGAAATACAACTGAGTGTTCTATAGGGGAAAATTTTGGTAGCTCAGGTAGCGTAGATGGTGGTCGTTGGCCTGTTCGCTGAGCTGGGCAATTCGATTGCCCAACCACCAACCCACCGCTANGCAATCAAATTGCCCAGCTCAGCGAACAGGCCAACGACCACAACTGAGTCTAAAAAAGTTCCCTTGGATTCATCCATTGCACTCTACATACTAGGGTCAAACAATCGGATCAAACTCAGTGGCCACGTGTACATGAAAGCGTTAGAGAATTCAAAGCGAATCCGAATGGCGTCAACTGTGGTGATGGGCTTTAGTGTCTGAATCCAACTCACTGCACAAATTAGCGGACAAGGTGACCAGATGTCAAGCGTAATTAGAAGGCACGATGGCGGACAAAAATAACGCTGAACTTGGCCTACATTCGCTTGATCTTAAAAACCGTTGGAAAAAGGTTTTTCACGGCAAAGTCAGATTCCACCGAGCAGTTAAGGCGCATGGCTATCAATTTGCTAAATAAGATTCGAGTCAAGTCTGGTCGTCAAACTCCCAAGTTTGAGCTCGGCCATTCCACATTAAGAAACACCTTTTACTATGATTGCATCTGATTGACTTTACTAATATGCATTCCATATATTAGCTTGCGGAAATGTTCTTTTCGGCATTCAGGTTTCAGTGAAAGGTGGCTCACAAGTTTTCGTCGTTTAGAATCCTCACACAAAGGAGCCTTCATTGTGTACCAATAAGATGGATAGTATCTATTCATCCATCCATTTCAGTTTCATCGAAGGCGACAGAAATTTAATTGGCGCAACCTGCAACCCCTCTGGTGTTTTTCAATAAAAACCAAAGGATTCATTAAAATTCGTCTTTATCATGCGAGAATATTCAAGAAATACGCAAAGAAAACTTCAATTTGAGGCGCAGATTCTCCAAAAAGGATGAAAATTGTCGGATACACTGCTGATGTATCGGTCATTGTTGTACTTAGAAGTCAGAAGTGGTGACGCTTGCGTTATTTGAATACAATGACTGTGTCTCGAATTGACGTCGTGTACAGAGAATGTTCGGTGTGCGAAGTGCTATTGAGTTGATTGCCTGCGTAGATGATTTTTACCAAGTAAGAACTCATTCAGTGGATGTAAAGTTATCTGGTTCCACTATTTCTTCGTACCTGAGGTATACAGAAACCAATTAATTTTGGCTACGACGCAATACTAGGCGAGGATTTTGAGGCAGATACTATCACTTGGCCACATTAATCTATTTGTTGTATTCAACATTCCTGTGTAAATATGTTTGACAGTTGTTTTGAAACTATTTTCCTGTTGTTCCACAAGAAGACTGTGGCACAATTATATTCCACCCAATGATATCATATGCTCGGAGGCTGAGGACTAGAACGTAGATAATCCATAAGGTTATGCATCCAAGCCCGGAAATCCATTTGCTGCATACTGGACCACCAAGTTCACCAGCAAAAACCTGGAAAAAAAGTAGTGGTTGTGGGCAGAATGACAGAACACGCACCTTTCGTCGGCAAATAAGATTTCCAAGGCATAATAAAGCCATACCCAGAAACAGCATAGATGCTTCACATACTCCTGAGGTCGAAACACAGAATTGCTTTCCTCTTAGTGTTGCATCAATCGCACTGATCACCCAAGGTACGCCCAGCCCGAGGAATACATTTACACTGTTTGATCCTAAAATGTAATAGAGGAGAAATTAGGCAATAAATTTACTCAAATTCCCCGTGAAGTAAAGCAACCTAGTACAGGAAACGTACGGACAGTTTTCTAGTTTGCTCAAACAGCAGGAGAGTCGTTAAAACACCGCGATATAATAAAACTTGGGGCGCAAGCAAGTTAGCACTTTAAAACGCAATTAGTTTTTCTTTCATTGTAGCGGGACACCTTCATTACTGGAGTTTAACCTCAAAGTTCTGAAAAAAAGCACTGGTGTTTTAACAGATCTGGAGGAAAGGTAATATCCCCCCATGAATTAAATAATTTGATCAATTTGCACTTTCCAAATCGAGAACCGTTTGTTGGAGAGGAGGTATTAGTTCACAAAAGCGCATTATTCGTTTGAAAGTTACGTCCTGTCGGTGAAGGCCAAATGGGAAATTTAGATGATTTATTGGCTTGCGTGCCGAACTAATCAAGTTACAATTCTGTCCGGCAAATACGCGGAATGATTCATTAGACCTCGCAATTCGCAGGTGGATGCTGAGCAATTAGGTCCAAATATAAGTGTCCTTTGTATACATGTGCATCCATTTATATATCCTAGTTGTAGAGTGTTCATTGACGGGTTTTAACTCCTCGATCACCATCCCTGATATGACATTTAAAATACTAAAACCTGTCTGCGATGGACAAAGAATGGAGCGATTTGTGCTGAAGACGAATTGGTCCAGTAGCTTTAGTCATTACTTTCGTACAATACCATAATATTGCTAGCATGACTTGGCCTCCAGCAAGGTCATATTCACTCCTAACTTGAAAAGGGATTTTCAGTCCGAAAGGCAGTCTTGAAAAGTTCGGTGGCCGAGATATCTACGATTGATCCGAACTCAACGTTTTATATTCTCTGTCATCCGTTTTATTTCCTGTTCACATGCATATCCAGGAGGAAGGATATGAAGGTTGGTGCATTTAAATCAGAGTGCCTTCAGATAAAGAATGGTCAGCGTGTTGAAAAGCAATCAACACGAAAACAAGCATAATTACCAGATATTCAAAAAAAAACCATCTCAGCAGTTGTCTTTAAGGAAGTGTATTTGCTAAGTTTCTGAGTTTTATTTTGATTATTTCTGAAAATTCACAGAAATAAATGTGTAATCTTGCTGACAATTGACACAGGCACTCGTTTTTGTCGTTCCTATGACGCGCCTAGTACAACAGAACATCGACTGTTTATGTGGCTTCATCAGAAGTAATATGCCAAGGTGCAATAAGCCAACAGACGAATCCGTGGCTACCGGTCAACTTAACGGCTGAGAATGACGTCATGCATGTATACATTGTTGCTCATCTCGGTTGATCAGATCCTACTAAATAATCGAGCCATGAGATTGCTGAAACAGCTTCAAGAATGGAGCGATTTGTGCTGAAGACGAATTGGTCCAGTAGCTTTAGTCATTACTTTCGTACAATACCATAATATTGCTAGCATGACTTGGCCTCCAGCAAGGTCATATTCACTCCTAACTTGAAAAGGGATTTTCAGTCCGAAAGGCAGTCTTGAAAAGTTCGGTGGCCGAGATATCTACGATTGATCCGAACTCAACGTTTTATATTCTCTGTCATCCGTTTTATTTCCTGTTCACATGCATATCCAGGAGGAAGGATATGAAGGTTGGTGCATTTAAATCAGAGTGCCTTCAGATAAAGAATGGTCAGCGTGTTGAAAAGCAATCAAATCAACACGAAGCATAATTACCAGATATTCAAAAAAAAACCATCTCAGCAGTTGTCTTTAAGGAAGTGTATTTGCTAAGTTTCTGAGTTTTATTTTGATTATTTCTGAAAATTCACAGAAATAAATGTGTAATCTTGCTGACAATTGACACAGGCACTCGTTTTTGTCGTTCCTATGACGCGCCTAGTACAACAGAACATCGACTGTTTATGTGGCTTCATCAGAAGTAATATGCCAAGGTGCAATAAGCCAACAGACGAATCCGTGGCTACCGGTCAACTTAACGGCTGAGAATGACGTCATGCATGTATACATTGTTGCTCATCTCGGTTGATCAGATCCTACTAAATAATCGAGCCATGAGATTGCTGAAACAGCTTCGTCGATCGTTGCTCAGCTTAACTGATCTAACTAGGAAAACGATTTGAATGTCAACACAAAGCTTCCTTGATTCTGAAATTTCCCAGACAATACTTACCCGTAATGTTTCCTATACTGTTATCTGCAGAATCATCCAGGCGTGCTGCTGTTCTACTCGCGAATGCATCAGGTAGTGAGGTTCCAATAGCCACCAGTGTGATTCCTGTTACGGCAGTTTTCAGAGCCGCGACACATCCCAGCATATGCGATAACTTTGTGGTAAGGCAAAAAGGGTGAGAGCCAAAATAACTGGTGCGAATTCCAAACCAAGTAACTTTGTTTGGACAACACTGTTTATAAATCCCACAAGTAGTTATGTTGATAAACAAGGTGAGAGACAATACACGTTCAGCTGTTACGACCAAACGTAAGAGGTGGTACACCTTTGGCGAAATTTTATTGATGTTTTACTTGCGGGTTATGGATGTTCCTGACCTTACAGTGAATTCTAACGGAGATTTCATCTTGTGCTGCCTGAAGCACATCTATGCTAAAAAGCTCACTGCCACCGCATCAGCAGTGCGCAGATCAAGAAAAAGCAGGAGTCCCGAACGCACGACCTCCGACCTAGTGGTCGGGACATTCAAGCTTTCGGCAGCACACCAGTTATCATCTATCGTCTGATACCTTGTACCGGTGGTACTACTGATGAGCGGGGCATGCGAGTAGTATGGTTTCCTTGAACGCACGACGACCTAGTGGTCGGGACATTCAAGCTTTCGGCAGCACACCAGTTATCATCTATCCTCTGATACCTTGTACCGGTGGTACGTACTATGAGCGGGGCATGCGAGTAGTATGGTTTCCTTTTGTAAATTCGCCTTGCGTTTTTGAAGAGGGAAGTCTATTGCGTAATTTGTGAAGTCGCTTTGTAGCTTTTGCTTGGATTTGAGCAACAGCCAATGAATATCCAGAAAAGTTCAGGAAGATGCGTTCAAGAAAAGGTGGATGTTCAGTTTTTGTAAATAAGATGCATATGAGAGTTTTGCTTCCCTGTCCAATAGTCTGTAGCTGGTCAGTTGGCGTTTCCTAATAAATAACTCCGCAGCGAAGGCCTTCTTTCTTTCACCATGACGATAATCAAGAAGCACAGTATCAGATTAGGGTTGGTTTTTCGAAAAAAATATCCGCACGTTAGTGTATAGTAAAGCTAGCTAACACTAATTGGGTTAATAATGGATCATAGTTGC